GTGTGTGTGTGTGTGTTCCTGCAGACAACCCAACGCAGATCTCCAGCGTGTCAGTGACGGTGAAAGTCCTGGACGTGAACGATAATCCTCCCCTGCTGACGCACTACCTGGAGGCTTACGTGTGTGAGAACGCCAAAGCCGGGCAGGTACGAGAGCAGGAGCCTCCTGAGGTCTGATTTCACGCAGCTTTATTCTCCCAAAGTCGTAATCTAACTGTGTGCTGATGTCATCCAGCTGATCCAGACGGTGACGGCGCTGGATCCCGACGAGCCGCTCAGCGGACATCACTTCTACTACAGTTTGGCTCCCGAGGCCGCGAACAACCCAAACTTCACCCTGAGAGACAACCAAGGTAACGGACAGTCCTGTATCGTGTTTTTAGAGTTTGTCCCTCCGTCCTCTTCTGGACCAGACGCCCTGAAAGAATTAGCTCTTCAGAGTAGCTTCATCACTCAGCACGTTTCCTCCTCTTTTGGTCCCATATGGTCTAGCGGTTAGGATTCCTGGTTTTCACCCAGGCTACCCGGGTTCGACTCCCGGTATGGGAATTCAGTCTCAGATGTTTTTAAGTTTCATTCTATCCTACTCACACGTCTCGTTTAGTTCGTCTCCTCAGCTTCAGAACTCGTGTGGAATCTGTTGCCGTTCAGACACGTGACACGTTCCATATTAACAATCTCATTAATCCTGCTTTGTTGCATTTTTAATGATTTTTATTGTTTACACATTCAAGCTCGTATGTCCCATATGGTCTAGCGGTTAGGATTCCTGGTTTCACCCAGGCTGCCCGGGTTCGACTCCCGGTATGGGAACTCTGAACATATTAAACACGTTTATCAATAACTCATCTTTGTAAATATTGGTCAGAATTACATCTTTTATCTTCCGACTTTTAAATCTGTGCCGTTGCTGCCTTGAGGTGAAATCTGAGGACTTGTTCAATGTGAAGGTTGCCTCTGACCCCGTTTCCTCTTTCCAGACAACACGGCCTGGATCCTGACCCGACGTGGTGGCTGGTCACAGCAGGAACAGACCCTCTTCTATTTACCCATCTTCATCTCCGACGGAGAACAGCCGGTCCAGACCAGCACCAGCACGCTGACCATCCGAGTGTGCAGCTGCGACCAGGAGGGCAACGTCATGTCGTGCAACGCCGAGGCCTACAGTCTGCCCGCCAGCCTCAGCAGAGGAGCCCTCATCGCCATCCTGGCCTGTATCTTCGTCCTGCTGGGTGAGTCGTGCTCGGCTGCTGGGATGGCTGATACAGTGTCGGAGAAAACTTCTCTAAGTCTCCAGAAAGCGTTAACTTTCATTTCTTTAAAGGAGACATGGCGTCTTTCTTTCCTCTCATGTTGTTTTGTAAATGTAAAAGTTCTGGAAAATGAAAAAGCCCAAAGTCTGCAGCAGATAGAGAAAAACACTGAAGCTCCTGAAACTGTCACGTGACATTAATTTGAGGATTTGAAGATGTTTTCTCTTCGTCTCCACATTTTACTGACAGTGTTCTTATTCCTTCTTTACCACAGTGATGATTCTTCTCATGCTGTCCCTGCGGACTCATCGTAAGAAGCCCTACCTGTGTGACGAGGAGGAGAACGTCCACGAGAACATCGTGCGCTACGACGATGAAGGCGGCGGCGAGGAGGACACCGAAGCCTTCGACATCGCTGCCATGTGGAACCCGCGTGAGGCGCACAACCACCTGGGCAAGATGAGGCAGGACATGCTGCCGGAGATCGAGAGCTTGTCTCGTTACGTCCCTCAAGCCTGCGTGATGGGCGGCGGCGGGGACAGCAACGTTCAAGGATACGTGCTGGCGAAGCTGCTGGAGGCCGACGTGGACCCCTGCGCTCCACCTTACGACTCCCTGCAGACCTACGCCTACGAGGGGGAAGGCTCGGTCGCGGAGTCGCTCAGCTCACTCCAATCGGGAGCCTCGAACACCGACCACGAGTACGACTATCTCAACGACTGGGGGCCTCGTTTCAAAAAACTGGCCGAGATGTACGGCGTGCTGGAGACACACCCTCCGCCGCTGTGGTAGAACTCCTGAACCTTTGCCTTTTTAAAAAAAAAAAAATCTTAGACAAACTGCACCGACAAAAAAAGAGAAGAACAGAAACACGTCAGAGAAGCTTCACGAAAATGTGTGAGGACGACGCGGTGAAGCGCTTACGTCCACGTCCACCACTGTTGGCACTTGAATTCCTGCCGAAGCCTCGATTCTCCACAGCCGCGGAGGCCTGAGATGCCCACAGCAGCAGCAGCAGCAGCAGCAGTGTGAGCTTGTTTTAAATCTCCCCCAGAGACGGGGCTTCAGAGACGGGCTGGATTGGCAGCCTCGCGGGGCCCCACAAAGGAACGGCTTCAAAGCACATGTTAACTCCCCCGCCTGACCCGGGCACAGGCAGAGCGCCTTTGGTTGAAAGCGTGCAGCGATTTATGCCAAGAGATGAAAACCAAGGGAACGAGACTACCTTCCTCAAAGCAGAGCTCTGAAATCCGCTCCTCAACTCAAACTAAGACACAAAGCGAGGCGTCGTCGGTTTGCTTTCATTCGTGGCAGGTCTTAATTTATGTGTTTCATGTGCCGTATTTATATTTTTTAACTTATTTTGGTACTTTAAACCGACACTGTGCTTAAACCGCAGCTGCGTGAGGAGGTCTTGAAAAGATCACATGTTTGTTGTAACATACAAGATGTAAACTGCCCTTGTTTTCTGTCTGTGTAAGAAAAAATCTCATGTTGTTTATTGTGTTACTGTTTTTATATCATTTTTTAAAGCTCTTTGTATCGTACTCGTTTCTTTTTCTTCCCGAAACATGAAGCGGCTCATTCATGACGAGAAGAGGGAAGCCATTTAAAAAAAAAAAAAAAACACCTCTGTTGATGGAGCTGGATATTTTTTATTCCAGCAGACGGTCAGATTTTACCCAACATGCATCACCCTACCCCGGATGAGCACATGACCGCGTCGCCTTTCAATTTCGGATCCACCGCCGTGCCAACGGGAGTCCGACGGCAGCGAGGCTTGATCCGTCCCGTTCGAGGCACTGTGTCGTTTTTATAAAACACGTGGTGCCGAGTGTAAAGTGCCAAATGTAAAAAGGACAAAAGATAAAAAGACATTTTTGGGATGAAAAGAAAAACACCAAAACACCAAAAGACGGACGAGGACTTTACAAACTGAAGGAACATTTTGATAATTCAATTGACTCTACTTGAAATCCATGTGGTCAGTCATACCAGTGCGTGGTATGTGAATGTAGATACGTTTTGTATTCTTGCTAATAAAAAAGGTCAAAAACTACGTCGCCTCTGCGTCTGTGAAGCTCCTGCAGAAAGAGCCTCCCTCCACGTCTCCGTGGAAACATTCTCAAGACTCCATTTGAATAATAAACCGTTTCTTTTGGCAGTGAAGAACATTACGCAACCCCCTGAAGCATGACAGAAATGTTAGTCCTGCAAAAGATAAAGCAGCTATTTAAATTTGCAATCATGTGCCAAATTGTCCTCCGAAGTGCTGCTGCAGATGATTCCGTTTTCATCACACTTTCCCTTAAACTACTTAATTTGTGAGATTTATTTCGCTCTGCAGAGATAAAGCTCAGCATTGATCAGAAGCTGCCGAGCACCTGGGCCTCAGAGTGGTTCCGTCAGATCGCTCCGACTCGACCGCTCCAATGAACGGGTGGGAATCAATCACTTACGAACAGTCTCTGGTTAATTGCTTGTGCCAATAACAGCCAGTGAGGGGCCGGAACACAGAGCGAAGTGACGATGAAAAGAAATCAGAAAGTGGACAGAGGAGGAAAGGAGCAACAATAATCTGCGCTGTATGAAATGTTCCGACACTTTGAATTTTCCATTTCCGTCGTCAAAACAAACAGAAGAGACGTGAGCCTGAAATCTGCGGCTCTGTCGAACCTGCTGGGCGTCGCTCAGCGGTGAAATTACACAAAAGATGAGCCGGTAATATTCCCCAGATTTAGGTTTTCATTGAGACGCCTTCACACTGGGCCGAGCGCTTCAATTACACACGGGGGGGGGGTCGATGATGAGCTGTGATCAGATTTAGATTCACAGCAGTTTGTTGCATATATTTCTTTTAAAATTAAAACCGACACAACGTTAAAAACACAGAATTCTCTTTTAGCAAAGAAACACTTAAAATAGAGAGGATACAAGTCTAAGTCGT